CAATTCCCCATTAAAGTGCTGTAAGTGTTGTAATTGGCCCCATTTCAGAAAAAATAAAAGTATGAGGAACATTAGGCATGCACTGCCCAAGAGCTGATTTCAGTGCATGCGTTAGGAAAGATTGCCTTGTAAAGATGAAAAATGAAAGTCTGTCTTAAGAAAAGATTTATCAATCACATGAAAAAAAAAAAAAAAACACAACACCCTATTTAAATCACAACACCTTAATGCACTTCTCCCAAATTCAATTTACGTCCAAGAGTTTAAGAGTTCATTTATTGTTCAACTTAAGAGAAAGATAAAAAGGTATGTTATTTTATTTTTATTACATTTTAAATTTAGTTATAAAAATAATTAGATTGGTTTTTTGTGCTCTTCTTTTCCCCTTATGTTTTTCTTTTTCTTGGTAGATGGATTTAGATCCAAGGTGGAATTTTGAAAATAGTGATGAGGATGAGATGGAGAAACAAGCTATAGAACAAAGAGAGAAGGAGGTGGAAGGTAGACGAAAAAGGAATAATGTCTTTATTCTCTTATTCACTTAGGTACTTCAATATCTTCAAGATATATTTTGAAATATCTTAACAAATAAAAAATAAGAGTTTCAAGACTTTCAGGTTGGCAATGGGTGCAAGATACATTAGTAACTCCAAGTGAAAGTTATAAATTATTTAGAATAGAACCACATGTTTTTAAGGGATTATGTTCTTTTTTAGTTGGTAATTATGGCCTAACATTAATAAGAGAAATGTGTGCAAAAGAATCACTTGCAATGTTTCTTTGGACATGTGCACATAATCAATCTACTAGAAATGTGCAAAATTTTTTTAAACATTCGAGAGAAATAGTAAGTAGAAAATTTGGTAAGATTTTCAAGTGACATTGTGAAACCATCTGATTATAATTTTACTGAAACTCCCAATAAGATTCAACAAGATAGCAAGTTTTGGCCTCATTTTAAAAGATGTATTGGTGCAACTAATGGTACATATGTTCGAAGAAGAACTGGTACCATTTATAGGTCGCAAAGGCATCCCCACTCAAAATGTGATGGTAGTTTGCAATTTTGACATGATATTTACATTTGTAGTTATAGGGTGGTTTGGATCTACTCATGATGCACATGTTTTTACCTATACATTGGAAAAGCATAAAGATGTGTTTCCTCATCCTCCTGATGGTAATAATTTTCTATTTATTTTGTATTATAGT